CATTTATTGAACCTTGATTTTATTTCTTATGCTTTACGAGTCTTGTTAAGGAAGTAAGGGCCTAACCCAGCATGATGAAGATTTGGGCCTACTTTTTCTTCTATTAGGCATAGGGTCTCTGGTCTAATTCCTAGGTCCTTGATCCACTTTGAGTTTTGTGCATGGTGAGAAATAGGGGTTTAGTTTCATTTTGCTGCATATGGATTTCCAGTTTTCCCAGCACCATTTGTTGAAGAAGCTATTTTTTCTCCAATATATGTTTTTGGTGCCTTTGTCTAGTATGAAATAACTGTATTTATGTGGGTTTGTCTCTACATCTTCTATTCTGTACCATTGGTCTACAAGTCTATTTTTGTGCCAATACCATGCTGTTTTGTTACTGTAGCTTTGTAATATAATTTAAGTTCTGGTATTGTGAAGCCTCCTGCTTCACTCTTCTTGCTAAGGATTGCTAATTGGCAATTCTGGGACTCTTATTTTTCCAAATGAATTTCATGATTGCTTTTTTCTATTTCTATTTTGATGTGTTTCTGTCTGGTTTGGGTATCAGGATGTGATACTAGCCTCATATAATGAATTTGAAAGGGTTCTCTCCTTTTCTATTTCATGGAATAACTTGAGGAGTATTGATATTAATTCTTCTTTTAGGTCTTGTAAAACTCAGCTGAGAGTCCATCTGGTCCTGGGCTTTTCTTGGTTGGTAGGCTTTTGATGATGTCTTCTATTCCCTTGCTTGACATTGATCTGTTTAAGGTGTGTATGTCCTCCTGGTTCAGTTTGGGTAGGTGGTATGCCTCTAGAAATTTGTCAGTGTCTTCAAGGTTTTCTATTTTACCAGAGTATAATTTTTCAAAATAGTTTCTAATTATCTTCTGTATTTCAGTAGTGTCTGTCATGATATTTCCTTTTTTAGTAAAATTTTAGTAATTTGAGTTTTCTCTCTCCTTTTTTTAAAAATATTTTTTAGTTGTAGGTGAACACAATACCTTTATTTTATTTATTTTATTTTTATGTGGTGCTGAGGATCGAACCCAGTGCCTCACACATGCTAGGTAAGCGCTCTACAGCTGAACCACAACCCAGCCCCATCTCCTTCTTTTCTTTAGGGTGGCTAAGGGTTTGTCAATTTTATTTATTTTTCAAAAAACTAGTTTTTTGTTTTGTTAATGTTTTGAATTATTTCTTTTCATTGATTTCTGCCCTAATTTTAGTTATTTTCTGTCTTCTTCTTTTAGTATTGGTTTGTTTCTCTTTTTCTAGGACTTCGAGCCATAATGTCAGGTCATTTATTTGTTGACTTTTTCTTCTTTTAATGAATGAACTCCATGAAATGAACTTTCCTCATGGTACTGCCTTCATCGTGTCCCAGAGATTTTGATATGTTGTATTGGAGTTCTCATTTACCTCCAAGAATTTTTAATCTCCTCCCTGATGTCTTCTGTTATCCATACATCCTTCAGTAGCATATTATTTAGTTTACAGGTGTTGGAGTAGCTTCTATTTTTTATTCAATCATTGATCTCTAATTTCATTCCATTATGATCTGATAGAATGCAGGGTAGTATCTCTCTTTTTTTGTATTTGCTGAGACTTTCTTTGTGGCATAACATATTGTCTATTTTGGAGAAGGATCCATGTGCTGCTGAGAAAAAAGTGTATTCACTTGTTGATGGATGGAATATTCTATATATGTCTGTTAAGTCTAAATTATTGATTATTTTATTGAGTTCTATAGTTTCTTTGTTTAATTTTTGTTTGGAAGATCTATCCAGTGGTGAGAGAGGTGTATTTAAGTCACCCAGTTTTATTGTGTTATGGTCTTTTGATTCTTGAAGTTAGAAGGGTTTGTTTGCTATAAATAGAGTCCCATTGTTTGGGGCATAGATATTTATGATTGTTATGTCTTGTTATGTATGATTCCCTTAAGTAGTATGAAATGACCTTCTTTATCTTTTTTCCCTAAGTTTGGTTTGAAGTCCAGTTTATCTGATAAAAAGAGGAAACCCTTGCTTGTTTACTCGGCCCATGTGAATGATACGTTTTTTTCTCATCCTTTCACCATCAGTCTGTGGATGTCTTTTCCTATGAGTCTCTTGAAGGCAGCATATTTTTGGTCTTTTTTTAATCCAATCTGCTAGTCTGTTTTTTAATTGGTGACTTTAGGCCATTGACATTCAGAGTTATTATTGAGACATGGTTTGTATTCCTGGTCATTTTGGTTTATTTTTGGCTTTTACCTTGCCTTGGTTTTTCCTTTGATTGGTCTTTCCTTTAGTGTAGTTCCTCCCTTGGCAGATTTTCATTGTTGTTTTCATTTCCTCCTCCTGGAATATTTTGCCAAGAATGTTTTGTAGTGCAGGCTTTCTTACTGTAATTTTTTTTAGCTTTTGTTTATTATGGAAGGTTTTTATTTCATCATCAGATCTGAAGTTTAACTTTGCTATAAGGTTATAAGATTCTTGATTGGCATTCATTTTCTTTCAGAGCTTGGTATGTTTTGTTCCAGGATCACCTGGCTTTGAGGGTCTGGGTTGAAAAATCTGCTGAGATCCGAATTGGTCTTCCCCTATATGTAATCTGATTCTTCTCTCTTGCAGCCTTTAAAATTCTATCCTTATTCTTTATGCCAGGCATTTTCATTATAATGTGTCTTAGTGTAGATCTGTTGTAATTTTGTGCATTTGCTGTCCTGTAAGCCTCTTATATTGGATTTTCTAATTCATTATTCATGCTTGGGAAATTTTCTGATATTATTTCATTGAAGAGATTGTGCATTCCTTTGAAGTTTGAATCTCTGAGTCTTCCTCTATCCTGATAAATCTTAGATTTGCTCTTTTAATGTTATCCTATAATTCTTGGATATTCTGTTCATGGTTTCTTACCATCTTCACTGTGTTGTCAACTTTATTTTCAAGATTATATATTTTATCTTCATTGTCTGAGGTCTTGCTTCCAAGTGATCTTGTCAAGTGATCTCTTTGTTGGAGTGATCAATTTTTTCCTGTATTTTCTCCCAGATCATTTTAATTGTGTACATTTTGAATTCCTTCTCCTGTGCTATCAATGGATTATATTTTTATAGTATCTTGATTGGTTTGGGGCACTTTCCTCACTTGTTTTTTCATGATGTCTATGTGTCTTCCTCTCTTGCAGTGTAGATCTGAGGTATTGCAGCTTCTACCCTATTGTCTTCTACTGTCCCTGCAGGTTACCAATACCTTACCTTTAAGGGGGTATCAATGTTCCAGCACCCAGTATAACCAATATGTAGCAATAAATCAATTAGCTTCTATTTTGACATTTACTGTTTTGTTGCTATAAGCAGAAATGATGAGTTTGGTTATATTCTACCATATATATGGTCATATATATGGTCAATAGGTTTGCATAATGGTTTACAGTTTCTAATGGTTTACAGTTTCTAATGGTACACAGGGAAGGGGGTAGCATGTGAGAATATAGAGGTATTAGATTATATGACTAGGGAAAGGGTAACCAAAAGAAGTTGCCTGTTAGCAGGAGAAAAAAGAGAGTCAAACTTTTTACCTCTGCAACAGGACGATGATTGTTAGCACCCCTAGTAGAGATACCTCTGGTGCACCCAGACCCACAGGGACCTTGGTGACATTTTACCAGGTCATGATTGTTGTCCCTAGATAGAAGCCGTGATGTTATGGCTTTGGTTGCAGCTGCTGTGTCAAGCCTGTAGGTACCTTGATGTTGGGCTGTGGAGCCACTCTCTGGTAAATAGGGAACCGCATGGGTACCAGTATTCCTCTCCATACAGGCATGAGGTATTCCTCTCTGCAGAGGCGGCCAGTGTTTGTGGGTCAGGCCTCTCCTGTATATATTTTTAAAAGTGATTTGAAAAGAATATAACAGGATATATTTTCAAGGAAGGTTATGGAATAATTTTTGGAAGTTTATTAGATTAAGGTAGACTCTCTTTTGGAATGGGTAATCTGCTTTTATTTATTTTTAGAAGGTCCATAGATTTTTATATTTTTTGTCAGAAGTTTTACTTATAATGAGTGGTAAGCTTGGCTTGTCTCTGCAAATTAGCTAATTTGGCATAATATTTCTGCTTTGGTATTATACATTTTAAAATACAAAATGATCTGCTCAGAATGCAAACTTTGATTCTCAAGTCTTTCATTACTGTCATGTGGAAATTAATATTCCTGAGAATATGGTTTCTTTTTGTAATGTTTTCACATCATTTCTGGATTTAAGAACTTCAACTAGCCTCAAAGTGATCTTAACTCCTTCTGAAAAAGAATGAGCCATGCTTCTTAATAGAAAATTAGAGGTATTAGTTTCACATTTTGAGATTTTTCCCTTTTATAAAGGGGCACTTATTCTATCACGTTTATTTTGTGTCTTGAATGTTGTTTCTTATCAGTTAGTTCGTCTTTTTCTTCAGATTAATTTAATCCTGGTAGAACTTTTTCTTCTTTATGTTGAAAGAAAAATTTTCATCCTCGTCACAAAATATCTTTTATGAAAAGATGACTACAGTTCCTGCTTTGCCTATTGTCTTTCAATAGTAAGTCAAAAAGATCCCCAAGTTTCTGAATGATATTCTTCTTAACAAGTTAGCATAAAAGTTTTTAAAAATTGTTAAATAGTCTATACTTTGGCCTCCATGTAAAATTTTCATTTTCAGAAGTGAGAATTAATTTGAGAAATAGATCAATAAGGAGAATTTCTCATTGTTTTAGAAAATTAAATGTTTGAAATTTCTTAAAATAATATTGTTTCAATTCCTACTTGAAATTGTTGTAGTTTCTATAAGGACTAGTATTGTGGTTGTCTTTTCAAAAAGAAAAATGATTTGTTTGACTTCTTATCATTCTAAAAGGAAATACACTAATTGCTCATTTCCTCTTAAGCCAAAACCTTTAAATTGGGGCATTATGTTTTTACTAGTATGGTATCCTAAGTTTAAATAAGTAAGAAAATCATAACTTCTTTTTCATATGTCTTTTACTCTGTCACAGGTTATAAAAGTTAAGATGAACAAACTACGACAAAGTTTTAGGAGAAAGAAAGACGTTTATGTTCCAGAGGCCAGTCGTCCACATCAGTGGCAGACAGATGAAGAAGGAGTTCGCACTGGAAAATGTAGCTTCCCAGTTAAGGTAAAAGCTGATGCTTATGTAAATCTATGTGGTGAGAAAAAAAAAAAAAGAAGAAAAAATGGCAGCCATTGTATGTGAAGACCCATTAATTAGGACAATTAAATGAGAACCCTCCAAAAATGAATTTCTTCATATTCTGCTTCAATGATGGAATTAAATGAGAAAAAATAAATTACAATTAGTGTTTTTTCTTTTTGTATTTAAATAAGAATTTTTGCTGTTCTCTGCAATCAGTACAAATACATTCACTTCTGATGAGAATACTAATCCTGAAATATATAAAGAGCCTGAATTATCAGGACTCAAATTCTTTTCAGTGAGATACGCTTACTAAATGATAAGGGGGTGGGAGTCTACTTTGTTAAATACAGGTTTGGTATGTTCTAGAAATCTAAGGAGAGTTAATCAGAAGAATTAAAACAAAAGGAGTTTTCTCTTTAATATTACAATTTTTAATCATATAGAGGTCACTGCTTCTGTTTCCAAGGGTAGAAAATGGTGCAGATGCACCTTCGGAGTTGGTGGCTTGAGATTAATGGGGTTTTATTTTCTCAAGGAAATAGGAAGTGAAGATATCTGTAGAAGAGTGAGTAGAGAAGTTGTGGGTGTGAAATTGATTTTGAGGACAGTAGAACAGTCACTGTGAAGAGTAGGAGAGAAAAGCTTAGAGGAGATAACCAAGTTAAGTAAAACTAGCTTCATCCTACTGTGTATGTTTAAATGCACTATAACTTGCTCATTATTAGAGTAATGATAAAGTAGTTTTCAAGCTCTGTCTTGCAATTCTATCTGTGACTATAACAGATAAATTTTTAATGGAAGAAGAAATTAACATGCCCAAATGAAACATTACCTTTCCATACAAAACTTAATCTAGTGGTTCTCGAAGTGAATTCCCCAAAACCTTTTTCAGGAGTCCTTAGGTAGTCTCTTTTCCAGCCATGTGTCTGAGGTCAGACTTTCTTTATATACTTTTAATGGAAACAACATAGTGCAACAGCTTGAATGTAGATTAAAAATATGGGAATCCAGTTTTCTTATAGTAAGCCAGATATTAAAGAGATTTTTTTATATTTATTTTTTTGGTGTGGATGTACACAACACAATGCATTTTTATTTTCACATGGTGCTGAGGATCAAACCAGCGTCCCGCCCGTGCTAGGGTGAGCGCTCTACCACTGAGCTATAATCTCAGCCCCAAAAGAGATCTTTAAATGTGATTATATGGAAAATAGTTATTTTTATTAAAAATCTTATGCTAACACACAATTGAGTTTATCATCATTTTTTAAGTAACATTATTGTATTTTTTATGCCTTTATTTTATTTGTTTATATTTATGTGGTGCTGAGGATTGAACCCAGAGCCTCACACATGCTAGGCAAGCAGGCACTCCACCTTGGCCCTATTATCATTCCCTTTTTTTTTTTGGTAATGCTGGGGATTGAACCCAGGGCCTTGTGCATTCAAGGCAAGCACTCTACCAACTGAACTATATCCCCAGCCCTATTATCATTCTTTTTAAGTGAGTTAAACATTTTAGAAGTTCTTAATTTCTTCTATAGTAATTGTTATTAGCTATAACTGAGATAAACAAAAACTCTTTGGGGCGCCTCCAACTAATGGGGTCCTGAGACCAAAAATTTTGAGAACTGATGATTTAAATAGTACCTTTTTATCAATTAAAATAATATACTAAGAATCTATCTATAATTGCCTAATAACATATTTTTAAGTGCTGCTATTAATTATGATTGTTAAATAAATTGGTAGAATCCAAGCCAATCCCTTGACTTATATTAAAAAATCTTAATCTTCTGATTAAATAGAACATATAACATGTTAAAATGGACCTTCTATTGGGTATATTTTGGAGGTCACATTATCTTCACATTTGAAGGCATAGAGATTAAGGAACTGAATGCAGAATTCGTACTTATTAGTTATGTTTATAAGTTAGTTTGATTATTTTAACTCACTGTTAAATGAGATGAAAGTGTTTTCTTATCCCTTTGTTTCGTGGGCTATAACACATTTATTCAGTTGTTCATAGGAATTATGTGCAAGTAGGATAAACCAGCTGGAGAATTGAGCATATGGATAGTAGAATTGGCATTTGTTTATCTCCTAGACCAACATTTTGTTCTATTAAATGATCTTCTAGATGGTTTAGAGGACCACACCTTTCTAAGATAAGGATTGTCATTGTGCTAGAAATTATAAGAGATATTTTAATAACAGGCATTTCTTATTTTACATGGAACTAAGAAACCATGGTAGAGAAAGTAGACCTCCTACTTCTTTATTTCTAAGAGGCTAGTTCCTAATCCATCTACCATTTAATAATCTGTGACTTCAGAGGCTCTGGTGTGGAGCAGGGGTAGAGCCTACCTAGCACATGTGATGCACTAGGTTCAATCCTCAGCACCATATATAAATGAATGAATGAATGAATGAATTGTGTCCATCTATAATTAAAACTATTCTTTTAAAAAAATTTTTTAGTTGTAGATAGACAAAATATCTTTATTTTTATGTGGTGCTGAGGATCGAATCCTGGGCCTCACACGTGTGAGACAAGTGCTCTACCACTGAGCTACAACCCCAGCCCTAAAACTATTCTTTAAAATCTGTGATTTGGGGTATAAAATGTTATGCCAAACTAGAAGTTACTACAAATAAAAAATAAAATGGGAAAATAGAGATGAAATTTGAAAAATTTACTCTATACACATAAACCTGAAAAACAGGGATAAAACTGATAATATTCTTAAAATGACCAAAACTAACTCCTAAGAAACTAAAAGTAAATAGTATTAAATCTTGAAAAAAAAAATTTCAAAAAAAAAAAAAAGGAAATAGTAGGGGCTGAGGCTGTGGCTCAGTGATAGAGCGCTTGCCTAGCATGTGTGAGGCACTGGGTTCAATTCTCAGCACCACGTATAAGTAAATGAATAAAATAAAGGTATACTCATATAAAAAATTTAAAAAAAAAGAAATAGTATTAAACCTTAAAAAAAGATAAAATTCCTGCTTTATCTATTCATAAAAGCCTTTTAAGTTTGTTTTATAAACTTATAAATTCTTTTTTATATATGTATTATTTAAAAAGACATAGAACATCAAAAAAGGAGATTAGGCTAAATTAATTTATAGATATCAATATAAAGCTCTGGATAAAACATTACAAACAGAATCCAGCAACCCAGTTAAGGAATAGTTGGGTTATCATTATCTAAAGATACAAAGTTAGGAAGCAAGTAACTATATCTGGATGGGATAGTTCTTTATACACACACACACACACATACACATTTGATTCTTATTAGGATCAAAGGAAATGCTGAAAACATAATAACAAGGAAAGCCAAGAAAACAATTATTTTTTATTTTCAACCTATACCATAGAGGTGTAGGCTCTTCTAACAGGGAAACTGGTTGAAGGAATGGTTATCTTATAGGCAACCAACAGTGTCAACTGTTCAAATGGTTATGATTTTTATCTTAGTTTTGTTAAATAGTAGGGGCTGAGGCTGTGGCTCAGTGATAGAGCGCTTGCCTCACAAGTGTGAGGCACTGGGTTGCATTCTCAGCACTGCATATAAATAAATGAATAAAATAAAGGTCCATCAACAAATAAAAAACTTCACTTTTTAATTTTTTTAAGAACTAAACTTATAAAATTATATTTAATAGATTTGCTTATGTCATGATTTGTTTATAACTATAAATTGTACTACAAATTTATAATTAAAAACTAGCCTATTTTAATTTGATTTCACTATTCCTCTTTGGTTAAAGATACAAAACAAGGTTTGATATTGTTTTCTGCACATCTACATACTGTATTTTCTATATAGCATAGACTATGTATATGTGATAAGATACCTTATAATTCCTTATAAATTAATGATTATAATATTACTTTTTATTAATGCTGGGAACTGCTAATGGTACAGTGTCTCACATTAGAGCTCTGTTTCTTCTCATGGATAATATTACCAAAGTGGGGGTTGGTATCTATTTTATAAATACTTTTTTTCAAGAATGGGAAAAATGATTTGATTCATTCAAGAATTAAATTCCACATAATAGTTTTTCTAAGTACATTTTTGTGAATAAAAGTTCCCTTACTCAGAGGGAGTTTGGGAAAGGAATACAGACAAAAGAAGTCCCAGTGTCAAATATTTTAGCCATTAAAGCATAAGTCAGCTGCAATTCTTCAGTGAGGTAGTGTCTCAGAGAAGAAAAAGACCTTTTTAATAATGTTTATTTCAAACAGGCAAGTTTTTCTCATAGTCTAATAAGATACAGGCTGATTTCCATCTTCACATTTCTAAAATAGATAATACAACCGAGAGTCAGTCCAAATGCAGAATATTTTGTTCTCTGCATTCTACCAAGTTTCTTTTTGGTGGTGGTTGTTGGCATGAGTAGCCATATGTGACCAAATGAATTGATTAAGGTAGGTGATAGAATGAAAACTTAGAAATTCTTAGAATCTTGTATTCATTCCTCAAACTAAAGGGAACTCAAATATCATAAAAGCCTACTTTCTTTTTTTGGGGTGTGGGGGGGTTCTATTTATGTATTTAAATGTGATGCTGAGGATCGAACCCAGGGCCTCACACATGCCAGGAAAGTGCTCTACCACTGAGCTACAATGCCAGCCCATAAAAGCCTACGTTTGCCAGGTGTGGCAGTTCACACCTGTAATCCTAGCAACTCAGGAGGCAGAAGGATCACAAGTTTGAAGCCAGACTTAACACTTTAGTGAGACCCTAAGCAACTTACTGAGACCCTGTTTCAAAATTAAATAAAGATAAAAAGAACTAGGGATGTAGCTCAGTGGTAAAGTACCCTTTGGTTCAATTCCCAGTACCTACATAAATAAATAAATGCCTACTTTTAAATTTTATTCTTAATTTGAAGTGAAAACAGAGAGACTGAAGTTAGTAGTAGAAATGAGCCTTAATAAAGAAAAAGAAAGAAAACACTCT